TGGCTCAAAAGACTTAATACTGTTAAGATGGCAATATTCACTGCTAGATCACTACTGATTCAACTCAATACCTCTCAAAATCCCAGTTGGCATTTTTGCGAAAATTGTCAATCTGATACTAAAATTCATATGGAAATGCAAGGGACCCAGAATAGCCAAAATAATCTTGAAAAATTAGAGGACTCATGTTTCCTAATTTCAAAATTTACTATAAAGTTACAGTAATCAAGATAGGTGGTACTGGCATAAGTTAGAATTGAGAATCCAGATTTTTGACAAGGGTGCCAAGATAATTCAATGGAGAAAGAATAGTCTTTTGAACAAATGGTGCTGGGAGAACTGGATATCCACATGCAAAAGAATGAACTTGGACCTCTACCTCACACCACATATAAAAATTAACTCAAGATGGATCAGAAACCTAAATGTAAAGGTGAAAACTAGAAAACTCTTAGAAAAAAACTTACAGGTAAATTTCTGTGACTTTGGGCTATGGCTTCTTAGATATGACACCAAAAGCATAGTGACAAAAGAAAAAATAGATAAATTGGACTTCACCAAAATTTAAAACTTCTGTGCACAAAGGACACCATCAAGAAGATGAAAAGACAACCCACAGAATGGGGAGAAAATATTTGCTAATCATGTATTTGATAAGGAACTTGTATCTAGAATATATAAAGAACTCTTAGAACTCAATAATAATAAGACAAATAACCCAATTTTAAAAAATAGACAAAGGATTTGAATAGAATTTTCTCCAAAGAAAAGAAAATATACAAATGGCCAATAAGCACATGACAGATACTCAACATCACTAGCCACCAGGGAAGTGCAAATCAAAACCACAGTGAGATACTGCTTCACATCTACAAGGATGGCTAGGATAAAAAAGCCAAATAGTAACAAGTATTGGTGAGGATGTGGAGAATCAGAACACTTGTACACTACTTGTGGGTTTTAGGATGGTACATCGCTTTGGAATGGGTTGTCTTTGTTATGTTAATAAGGCAGGATTAGTGTAGGGTGTACCTTGAGTCAATCTCTTTCGAGATATAAAAGAGGTTAAATAAGTGAGCAAAGCAGAGATGGGGGAAGAGAGATGCCAAGCACATGAAGATCGCCCAGGAGCAAGAGCTCAGAAGAGACAAGGACCTTCCTCCAAAGCCAACAGAGAGAGAAAGCTTTCCCCTAGAGCCAGCATCCTGAATTTGGACTTCTAGCCTCCTAAACTGTTTACAGCAGCTTATTCATAATCACCAAACACTGGCAATCAAGATGTCCTTCAATAGGTGAATGGATAAACAAACTATGGTACATCCATACAATGGAATATTATTCAGAGATAAAAATAAATGAACTATCAAGCCCCAAAAAAGATGTAGAGGAACCTTAAATGTATCTGTTAAGTGAAAGAAGCCAGTCTAAAAAGTTTACATACTGTATGATTCCAACTATATGTCATACTAGAAAGGCAAAACTATAGAGGTAGTAAAAAGATCAGTAGTTGCCAGGGATTCAGGGGGAGGCAAGGTAGGAGTGAATAAGTGATTTTTAGGGTGGTGAAACTATTCTCTGTGAAGCTGTAATGATGAATACATACCATTATGAAGTTTTCAAAACCCATAGAACTGTACAACACAAAGCAGGAACCTTAATGTAAACTATGGATTATAGTTAATAACAATGTATCAATGTTGGTTCATTTATTGTAACAAATGTACCACACTAATGCAAAATATTAATAATAGAGGAAACTCTGGGGGGAGAATCAGGAGGTGGTGGATATGTGGATATATACTATGAGTCGGTATTGACTGGCAGTACACAACAACATGTAGTATTTGATCAGTTATTCTACAAATCTAAAACTGTACTAAAAAGAAAATCTATTAATTATTTAAAAAATAAAATAGCATTAATCTTATCAAGCATCCTATAAGACAATGTTACTGCATTGATTTTAGCCTGTTAAATCAAGTGGTGTGCAGAACAAATATGTTTACATATCAACAAAAACAAAAAACTAGTTGCTGTCTGGTCAGTTCCGACTCATGGCGACCCCATGTGTGTCAGAGTGCTCCATAGGAGTTCTAATGACTGATACAGACAAAAGTATGTAAAAACACATTTCTGTGGTTACAAAGTACTTTAAAAAATGGGTTTTATGAAAAATTTCAACACATAAAAGAATAGTAGTATAATGAATCCCTGTATACTAACACAAAGTCAAGCATTATCAAGGTTTTGTAACACTTACCTTATTTATATCTTTCTTTTTTTTTCTGAAATATTTTTTAAAAAATTTCAAAAATCGCTTCTAGGCCAGAGAATTTAATTGCTAGTGTGAGTCTCTCCAGAACTCTCTTTCCTGCCACAGTGACTAAGCAACATTCAAAATGGTGGCTGCTCCTTCAGCCTGGATTCCAGAGTGAGGAAATGTGGAACAGAGCCTCCATTGCACCTGTGATTGACATTTAGCATGAGTCCTCTCCGCCCTAAAAAAAAAAATGTTTTATTGTTTTAAGCCACTTAGATTCTAAGATTGTTTGGTATAGCTGTATAACTTCACCTACCCTGACTCATACATCTTCTGTATTAAGACTGTTAACCAGTATGTATCAAGTTTTAATATTACTTGGTTTTTCAGTCAGAATTGCCAAGGTTATGCCGTGGCAGAGTCTCTGGGTGGTGCAAACGGTTAACAGGCTCTGCTGCTAAACGCAAGGTTGGAAGTTTGAGTCTACCTGGAGGTGCTTGGGAAGAAGAGCCTGGCCATCTACTTAAAAAAAAATCAGCCATTGAAAATCTTACAGAGCACAGTTCTACTCTGACACACATGGGGTCACCATGAGTCCAAGTCAACTGGATGGCAATTGTACCTAATGTGGTAGTATGCTGTGGTAACAAAACAAACAAATCTCAAATCTTAGCGGCTTAAAGAACAAATTGTGTTCCAGGTCCATTGTGGGTTGGCTGGGAGTTTTGTTCCTCATAGTCACTCAGGGATCCAGGATGATAAAGCAGCCATGATCTTGAGCACTGCACAGTGGCCAAACACTGGAAATTTCCTCCTATAAGTAAAGACAAATATAGGTAATCACAGTTCTGCAATGGTCATTTGCTCACCTGGCCGGATTTTTCCCCCTAGGTACTTTGATGATCTCTCAGACACATAACAAACACTCAGAGGTCTCTGAGCCACAAATCTGCCTCCAGCCTATGGAATTTCACAGCTGCTTTGACCCAGGAACACAGACGGACACCTGTGGGCTGATACTCTATTCTACTTTTTGGAGCTTTCATGGTGGTATTAGTTGCCTATGGCTGCCATAACAAAGTACTACAAACTGAGTGGCTTAAAACAAATTTATTCTCTCACAGTTCTGAAAGCTAGAAGTCCGAAACCAAGGTGTTAGCAGATCCGTGCTCCCTCTAAGTCTCTAGGGGAAGATCTTTTCTTGCCTCTTACAGCTTCTGGTAACCCTAAGCCTTCCCTGGCTTGTGGCAGCGTAGTTTCAATCTCTGCCCCAGTCATCACGTGGCGTTTTTCCCTGTGTGTGTCTGTGTCTATTCTCTTCTTATAAGGACACCAATCATGTTGAATTAGAGCTCACCCTACTCAAGTGTGACCTCATGTTAACTAATTACATATGTAAAGACGCTATTTCCAAATAAGGTAACGTTCACCGGTGCAGGTGGTTAGGACTTGAACGTATCTTTTGCAGGTACACAAATCAACACATAACGATGGCCCCTCAGACACAAAACATCTTTGGTACCACAACCATCTCCAAAATCTCTAAATGGGGATCACTGATGTCAAACCACCACTACAGGTTCTCACCTTGAAGGATCATGTCACCATGGTGATGCCACCACAAGGATACTTAGTTCTCTAGGGGCTCAAAATGCCCCTCAGAGTTCTGAACTCAGATGGCAAAAATGTCCCGATCAGGATAAAGGATCTTTAAATAGCCATTTGACTTCAATACTTTGAACTGGTCCTTAAAGTTGGCCTGTTAGCGAGGCAAATAATATTGCAGTAATTCTCAGGTGTACATTTTTCACCTCTCAACATCTCTGAAGTTGGAATGCATCTTATAATTGATGTGATAAGAAAGCATTGTGTTGATTTATTTGGAAGTATTTTTTCTTTCTTAGTGGTACATTAAAGAATGGTGTGTCTTACAATAGACAGTGACTCAGATTTGATGAAATATGGTACTACCACTTGGTAGAAACATCAACAAAGTTCTATTTAAAACAAGTGATTAAAAGTTGCTTAACTATGTTTTCAGAAATATTGGATGGTGAAATATTGTCATTCATCATTTTTATCTGTTTTTTATTGTGCTTTAGGTGAAAGTTTACAGAGCAAATTAGTTTATCATTAAAAAATTTATACAACAATTGTTTCATGACATTAGTTGCAATTCCGGCATTGTGTCAGCACTCTCCCCCTTTCCCTTTCCATCCCGAGTTCCCCGGTTCCATTCATTTATCACTTTTGAGACAATTTTTTTTCCTCTGTGACCCTGAGCAAATTCCTTGGCTTCTGTACCTCACCTTCCACCTGTGTTCAACTGGATGCTCATAAATGAACGTGATAGCTGTCATTTAAGCCCACTCAGTATGTGCCAAGGTTCTCCATATGTAATTCTCAATAATTTTCTGGTGACAAAACTAAAGCTCAGTAAGATTCAGTGGTTTTTCCTAAATTTGTGCAAGGGATAGAACTATCATGGTTCCTTTGGCCTAACCTTAAAGTCTGGATTCTTCTCCACCAGGCCTTGTCTCCACCAGGCTAGCCTTACCCTAAGAACCACTTGGTACACCTTAAAATTCAGATTCTCTCTTGGAGATAAGAGATTCTGTAGATTTTGATGAATGTTAAATGTGTGGATCCTGATGTGCGTGAAGCAACAGGAGATGAATGAAAACAAGAATGAATAAATGGACAGACTAATGGAACCTTGAAGAGGGTGGAGTCTGGATGGTTAGGGAAGGAAGAACAAAAGGAGAACACCTGAAGAGGAAATTACATTGTGTTCTTACCACAGCTTTTATAGTCTGTCCTACACTGAGGACAGAGACCCCACTGGGGATAGTCCAAGGGCCTGGAGCTGTTGCCAGCCTGGAGAGAGGCCAACCCAGACACAGCAGAGTGTGCTCAGGGCAGCAAAGGAGGTTCAGGCAAGTGCCCTAAGGAGGGAAGGGTGACAAGAGACACGGTAGGCTTGTGTGTACGGGAGGGACATATCTTTCTTTAGAAAGATCACTCAGGCTTCTGTGGGGAAGGAGACTTGGAGGGAGAAAAATTGGAGGAGGGAAGATCTAAACCCAAACCCAGAGCCATGGGGAGTGAATTTCAGAAAGGTTTTTGGAGGGACCCTTGCCAGGGCTTGGTAGCCAACTGAACGTGGGAGATGGTGACTAAGAGGAAAGGGATTCCATGATAAACTCTTAGGTACTTCAGTGACGAAGCCCAAAAAGACATATCTGTAATGAATGGGGGGTAAGGGTAGCATGAACAGAGGAGGGGGGGCTGTCACTTTTGGCCAGGTGCCTCCCACAACTCCAAGTACTCATTTGGTTGACTGCTCTAACACAGGGGACGTTTCTGCTGTACCTCAGACCCAAGGGTCTCTGTGTTTGTTTTTCGGAGGATAGGGTGGGGAGCTGGTATTTTTGCCAGAGAGAACCGAGAATGTCAGAGTCACGATGGGGTAGAGAGATGGAATGCATTTCAGAAACTAGGGAAGAAAAACATTTGAGGAAGCAAACCCATTGCCACTGAGTTTATTCCAACTCATAGCAACCCTACAGGACGGAGCAGAACTGCCCCATAGAGTTTCTAAGGAGCACCTGGTAGATATGAACTGCCAACCTTTTGGTTAGCAGCTATAGCTCTTAACCACTATGCCACCAGGGTTTCCAAAGCTGTTTAAAAACCACAACTTCCTATTTCAGTATCATTTCCTATGTGTTGGGGGAACCCCCCTTGCCAACCTTCTTATCTCCAACTTCAGGGAGCATCAGGACACCAGCACTGAAGGGACAGGTCTGACCCCATTCATTACTATGGAGATGGGGAGACTGAGGCAGGAGGTGAAGGAAGTACACCGCATGGGGTTCTTTTTCCTCAGACCTTGGTTTCCCTAACCACAACTCCTCCTGCAGGGACAGAAAGACATGGCCTGGAAATCGACACCACTTCTGCTACTTGTGGCCTGGGTAGCTGCCACGTCCAGCACCCGGGACAGGACAGACCTGCTCAATGTCTGCATGGACGCCAAGTATCACAAGACAAAGCCAGGCCCTGAGGACAAGCTACATGGCCAGGTGAGAATGGAGTGTGGCTCTGGGCTGTGGAGGTGGCTGGTTCTGACAGGAAGAGGAAGTTGGGGTGGTAAGGGAGGGGCTGAAGGGTTTGACACCCCTACACCCTGAGTTATTGCTGTGGGAGTGGATGAAGGTGGGGTGAGGTGGTTGAGGTGATCCTGGTGCCCCCCTCGAAAAGGACCTCATGTCAGTAATAATATGGGATAGTCATTTGCTGAGCACCTAACATGTGCCATGTGTTTCCTCTACATGATTTCATATTCCCAGCGGCCCTTTGATGTAGGTCAATGATGTTCTCTTCCAAAATACACAAGTGAGGAAACTGAGCCCCAGAGAAGCATATGGGCACACATAGGAATTGGACATGACCAGCCCTTGTGGTGGAATAGGGGGAAGACTGGAGAAGCTTCCTCTAGGGATTTGGAGGGTGAGAAACTGTAGGGGAGGATGGCTCTTTCTACCTTCACTACATGCCAGTCCCTTGAAGGGCCAGAACTCGAGGAGGAGAAGACCCTTTACCACAGAGATAGAGGGCAGAGGTGCTGTGCGTTCCACCTTTCTATAAAATTTATGTCAGTGGATCACAACCCCATTAGTCTCAATGTTTTATTTTCATGACAAATATTCTTTAGACTCTTTACTATCCTAGAGTGAAATTCAGAGCTCATGGAACCTATTTGCACATATAATTTTAAAATACCAACTTAATGTTCTATCTGTAATACAAAGGAGAAGCAAACAAACTAATTTATAATAAAATATTTCAATATGTAAATTCTCTGGTATGACTACATTAGAAACCAAACCAGTTGCCATAAAGTTGATGCTGACTCATGGGAACCCCATGTGTGTCAGAGTAGAACTGTGCTCTATAGGGTTTTCAGTGACTGATTTTTTGGAAATAAATAGCCAGGCCTTCCTTCTGAAGTGACTCTGGGTGGACTCCAACCTCCAATCTTCTGATTAGCTGCCAGCTACTGTACTTAACTGTTGCACCACCCAGGGATTGTGAAATTGCACATGCTTGCTTCTGTTTACAAAATCACTATGAATGGAGCAACTACAGATGAAGATTGATTTGAAAAAAAAAAACAGCAACCGCCGTCAAGTCAATCCAAGCTCCCGGTGACCCCATGTGTGCAGAGTAGAACTGTACTCTGTAGAATTTTCATAGCTGTGACCTTTCGTGAGCAGATCATCAGGCCTTTCTTCCAAGGTACCTCTGTTGTTGTTGTTGGGTGCAGTTGAGTTGGTTCTGACTCATAGCAAACCTACAGGACAGAGCAGAACTGTTCCATAGGGTTTCCAAGGAGGAGCTGATGAATTTGAACTGCTGACTTTTGGTAAGCAGGCGAGCTCTTAACCACTCCGCCACCAGGGCTCTTCTGGGTGGGTTCAAACTGCCAGCTTTTCAGTTAGTAGCCAAGTGTTTGGTGTTGAAGGAAGAAGTCCAAGCTGCACTGAAGGTATCGGTGAAAAACGAATCTCCAGGAATTGATGGAATAACAACTGAGATGTTTCAACAAATGGATGCAATGCTGGAAGCACTCACTTGTCTATGCCAAGAAATTTGGAAGACACCTACTTGGCCAGCTGACTGGAAGAGATCCATATTTGTGCCCATTCAAAAGAAAGGTGATCCAATAGAATGTGGAAATTATTGAACGATATCATTAATATCACACATAAGTAAAGTTTTGCTGAAGATAATTAAAAAATGGTTGCAGCAGTACATTGACAGGGAACTGCCGGAAATTCAAGCCAGATTCAGAAAGGATGTGGAACGAGTGATGTCATTACTGATGTGAGATGGATCTTGGCTGAAAGCAGATAATACCAGAAAGGTGTTTACCTGTGTTTTATTGACTATGCAAAGGCATTCAACTGTATGGATCATAACAAATTATGGATAACATTCTGAAGAATGGAAATTCCAGAACACTTCATCGTGCTCGTGTGTAACGTGTACATAGACAAAAAGGCAGTGGTTCAAACAGAACAAGGGGATGCTGTGTGGTTTGAAGTCAGGAAGGATGTGTGTCAGGGTTCTATCCTTTGACCATTCTTATTCAATCTGAATGCTGAGCAAATAATCCAAGAAGCTGGACTATATGAAGAAGAACAGGACATCAGGATTGGAAGAAGACTCATTAACAACCTGTAATATGCAGATGACACAACCTTGCTTACTGAAAGCAAAGAGGTCTCGAAGCACTTACTGATGAAAATCAAAGACTACAGCCTTCAGTAGGGATTACTCCTCAACATGAAGAAAACAATAATCCTCACAACTGGACCAATAAGCACCATCATGATAAATGGAGAAAATATTGAAGTTGTCAAGGACTTCATTTTACCTGGATCCACAATCAACGCCCATGGAAGCAGCAGTCAGTAAATCAAACGACGTATTGCATTGGGCAAATCTTCTGCAAAAGACCTCTTTAAAGCGTTAAAAAGCAAAGATGTCACTTTGAGGACTAAGGTGTGCTTGGCCCAGACCATGGTCTTATCAATCACCTCACGCGCATGCAAAAGCTGGACAATGAATAAGGAAGACCAAAGAAGAATTGATGTCTTTGAATTATGGTGTTGGCAAAGAATATTGAATATACCATGGACTGCCAGAAGAAAAACAAATCTGTTTTGGAAGAAGTGCAGCCAGAAATTAAAAACGAGGATGGCAAGACTTCGTCTCACATACTTTGGACAGGTTATCAGGAGGGACCAGTCCCTGGAGAAGGACATCATGCTTGGTAATGTAGAGGGTCAGTGAAAAAGAGGAAGATCCTTAACAAGATAGATTGACACAGTGGCTGTAACAATGGGATCAAACATAGCAATGATTGTGAGGATGGCACAGGACTGGGCAGTGTTTCATTCTGTTGTACACAGGGTCGCTATGAGTCAGAACTGACCCGACAGCACCTAACAACAACAAAAGCCAAGTGCTTAACCATTTGCACTACCCAGGGACTCCAAAGATTGGTACAAGTGTGTTCTAATGGCAACTTAAATGCTATAAGATACAATAAGCAGCACTGCCATTGTTGACACAATTTTCTGAAGTATTGAATGACTCCAGTAAAACAAAACATATAATATAGCCTTCTATTGCACGATATTTGCAGTCCTCGAAAATTCAGTCTATATTAAAAACTTATAAAATACAGGGTGTCTATATGTAAGATGATGTTAGGCTCTCGATTTAGGAAACCATAAATAGGTTTATCATTTATATTTTCAGCAAAATTTTTTTAATTGTACTTTAGATGAAAGTTCACACAACAAATTAGTTTCTCATTAAACAATTAATACACATTATTTTGTGACATTGGTTGTCAACCCCACGACATGTCAACACTCTCCCTTTCTTGGCCTTGGGTTTCCCACTACCAGCTTTTCTGTCCCCTCCTGCCTTCTTGTCCTTGACCCTGGGCTGGTGTGCCCATTTAGTTTTGTTTTGTTTTATAGACCTGTCTAATCTTTGATTGAAGGGTGAACCTCAGGAGTGACTTCATTACTGAGCTGTAAGGGTGTCCGGGGGCCATACTCTCAAGGTTTTCTCCAGTTTTTGTCAGACCAGTAAGTCTGGTCTTTTTTTGTGACTTAGAATTTTGTTCTACATTTTTCTCCAGCTCTGTCCAGGACCCTCTATTTTGATCCCTGTCAAAGCAGTTGTTGGTGGTAGCCGGGCACTATCTAGTTGTGCTGGACTCAGTCTGGTGGAGGCTGTGGTGGTTGTGGTCCATTAGTCCTTTGGACTAATCTTTCCCTTGTGTTTTTGGTTTTCTTCCTTTTCCCTTGTTCCAGATGGGGTGGGACCAGTGGAGTATCTTAGATGGCCGCTCACAAGCTTTTAAGACCCCAGATGCTACTCATCAAAGTAGGATGTAGAACATTTTCTTTATAAACTGTGTTACGCCAATTGACTTAGATGTCCCCCAATACTATGGTCCCCAGCCCTCAGCCCAGTAATTCGGTCCCTCAGGGAGTTTGGATGTGTCTATGACGCTTCCGTGACCTTGCCTTGGTTAAGTTGTGCTGACTTCTCCAGTATCATGTACTGTCTTACCCTTCATCATCAGCAAATATTTTTGAGGGCCTTCTAGTGTCTAAGGTCCCTGGGTGTTGTAAACTGTTTGCTCTCAGCTACTAACCTAAAGGTTGGTGGTTCAAACCCACCCAGTGGCACTGCAGGAGAAAGAACTGACAATCCATTTCCGTAAAGATTACAGTCAAGAAAAACCTGTGGAGCGCAGTTCTACTCTGTAACACATGGGACTTCCATGAGTCAGAATTGATTCCAAGGCAATGGGTTTGGTTTTGTTTTTTTCCCCTATATGTCTGGCACTGGCCAGCCCCCGGGGTACAGATCTTACTACTTGTCCAGAAGAGTACATTTAGTCAACACTTTTACTGCACTCTTCTCCTTTAAGTCTGTGTTCAAATGTCACCTTCCAATGAGGCTTTTCTCAACCACAACATTTAAAATTTCAACAATTCCCCTATACTCCCCAGTCCCTGCTTTAATTTTCTCTATATCATTTATCATAATCTGACAAAATTTATGTTTCCGTGTTTCATTGTCTGTCTTCCCTGGCTAGAACGTAAGTTCTCTGAAGGCATATTTCTGTCTGTTTTGTTCTCTGCTGTACTCCCAGCATCTAAAACAATAAAAAATAATTATTGGGCATACAGTAAGTGCTCAATAATTATTTTTTACATGTAATTGTATCTCCTCTAAGATGGGGGTTCTTGGAGGTCAAGTACAGAGGGGTCCTCACAGTGAGCATTCCCTGGGACAACCTACCTGGGGCAGGGGAACAAGAATCAAGCAGGGAGAGGTTGGAGGTGGCAGATGGCTGTGGCAGGGGAAGGCTTAGCCCTGTGTCTCCCCCCACCCCCCAGTGCAGTCCCTGGAGGAAGAACGCGTGCTGCTCGGTGAACACCAGCCAGGAGCTGCACAAGGACATCTCCCGCCTGTATAACTTTAACTGGGACCACTGTGGTAAGATGGAGCCTGACTGTAAGCGCCACTTTATCCAGGACAACTGTCTCTATGAGTGCTCCCCCAACGTGGGGCCCTGGATCAAACAGGTACAGTGTCTCCCTCATCCCACTCCAACAGGCTGCCCTCCAGCTTGCTCCCCTTGCAGGCTGTGGCTGCCAACATCCTTGGCTGAAAGGAGCCCTTCCTTTCCACCTCCAACCCAGGTGAACCAGCGCTGGCGCAAAGAGCGTTTTCTGGACGTGCCCCTGTGCAAAGAGGACTGTCAGAGCTGGTGGGAGGCCTGTCGCACCTCTTACACCTGCAAGACCAACTGGCACAGGGGTTGGGATTGGACCTCAGGTGAGAGCCTGGGGGTTGGGAGATAGAGGTGAGGTTCAGGAAAGGGGATTTTGAGGATTTGGGGTGGGGTGAGGATATCTGGGGACAGCCAGAAATGAGCTGTGGGCCCAGGGGCTGAAAGTCTGTGTCTACCATCTCTCCCTCTGCAGGAGTTAACAAGTGTCCAGTCGGGACCACCTGCCACACATTTGAGTTCTACTTCCCCACACCTGCTGACCTGTGCGAGGGCCTCTGGAGTCACTCCTATAAGGCCAGCAACTACAGCCGAGGGAGTGGCCGCTGCATCCAGATGTGGTTCGATCCAGCCCAGGGCAACCCCAATGAAGAGGTGGCGAGGTTCTATGCTAAGGCCATGAGTGGGGTTGAGGAGTGAGCCCTATGGGACAGGGCCCCTCCTGTTCCGCCTGGCCCTGATCCTGCTACTCATTGGCTGAGTCCAGCCATCCCCAGCCCTCCCCTCTGCCTGCCCTTAGCCTGGATGACCAGACTAGACTTACCTTAGCTCCCACAAATGAGGGAGCCTTACACATGCCTCCACTGTCATTACCTACCCCTCCATTCATCATCCAGTTCCTGCTCTAATGGTGTGGTATGGGGTTCCTCTAGCAGCCAGTTCTAGTAAATAGATTGACACATCCAAGCATCTGATGAACCATTTTGGTGGTGAGTTTATAGCTGGGTGGGGGAAAGATTCCATAGCTTTTGGATTCCTTCAGATTAGAGCAACTAGACCTAGGTTTGAATCCCAGCTCTGCCACTTGCTATGTAAAAGTGAGTCACTTCACTGCTCTAAACCTTAGTTTCCTCCTCAGTGAAATGGGGATAACAATCCTTCCCTCAGGGCTGTGAAAGGTAAAAGAGCTGTTGCCTAGAAAGCACATGAACCCAGCACCTGTACACTAGTTTTCAGGGATCCTGTTGCTCTTGCAGCTCCAAAAGAGTGCTAGACCCAGACCCAGACCTGACCCAAGACTTATTATTTATATTGGTCCCAAAACACCCCTCCTACCCCTCAGTCCTTGTCTGCCTGGCCCTGTGCTCAGCTCTGCAACAGGAGAGCTGGGAATGGGATTTTAGGGAAGGCTCTGGACTCCCAGGAGATCACACTGCTGAACATGATGTGGATGGGGACAGTGACGGTTCAGTGGTAGAATTCTCACTTTCCATGTGGGAGACCTGGGTTCAATTCCTGGCCAATGTACCTCGTGCACAGCCATTACCCATCTGTCAGTGGAGGCGTGTGTGTTGCTAT